TATTGTTGAACTAAATAGGATTCCCTGTAGACCTGCGTAGGGGAGAGATTTTGTGCCTTCCCCAAAACTTTTCAGTCCCACTTGAGACACCGTCTCCTGTCCCCATGGAGAGGGATTAACACAAAGAGGATCAGGACTAGCTCAGAAGAGGGAATATCCAGAAGCAGTGAGGTGATCTTGAGGGATAACTCTTCTGTCTTTGTAGGGTGGTGATGAAGAAGGAGAATCCTTTAGTGCTGAAGTTTTAGTCAGACATCACTGCAGTTAGGCTTTTCTTCCAGAAAAACTGCATTTCCTCTCGCAGAGTCAAGCTTAGCTTCATGGGGCAGTACAATTTAAGTATTAATAGTCATCTCTTCCAGAAGGTTTTCTCTGCTCTCCCGTAACGCTAGTACTGGAAGAAAGGAAGCAGTTCCTTGTGCAGCATCTCTCAGCTGTACTAGAAAGTGTAATGGCAATAACCTCAGAATTGATAAGCAAACTGCTGCAATACTGTGTATCCGTTGTAGTGTGAGCGTGGTGCTGGGTTCTGCTCGAGGGAAGAAATAGAACTGCTCGTTGGACCAAGGTCAAGCTACGTCCTTCAAAGTACTGTAATATTCCTAGAAGTAGAGGGAAGGGATGAGGACGGAAAGCAGTGTTTAAACTGGATTTGAACCATCTAAGAGGCACATTTCTGCAAATCTCTGTATTTCCAGCCATAAGCTGATTTCCAGTCCCTTTTTCTCCTTGAAGGATCATAAGACCAAAACAATTTACAAAATCTCAGGCCTTCCAAAGGCAGCAGTTCTTAGTACTTCTTAGTTTGGCTTCTGAACAGACTGCCATTAATCTTGCTTTCCTTCATGTTAAAGAGGAAATATTTAAAATTATTTAAAAAATACATAAAACAAATATATGTTATTTTAGTAGTATTTGTTAATCTTGCTTTCCTTCATGTTAAAAAGGAAATACTTAAAATTATTTTTAAAATACATAAAAACAAATATATGTTATTTTAGTAGTATTTCCCATGTATTTGAACTTCTGCAACATGGTAGAAACTACAGACACCAGTCTAATATTAAATCTTTTCCAGCTTATAAAGCATCCTCTGCCATCCTGTCTGTCTTCTAGGTAGTCTTTTGGAAGGTTTTATTTCCTTGATCAAGGTGAGTCCTGAACAGATGCTCTCAAGAATTCTGACTAAGAGATCTTCTCAGATCAGCCTGGCCTGAGGCTGATAACTATTGTAAAATCCACTTGGAGTTTGAGTGATTTCATCAACTGTGTTTCAGTCGTAGTGTATGAGCTCAGTGAATGAACGCATATGTTTGAATATTTAAGTGTCTTCAAAAGGGCATTCTTGGAAGGAAAGGTGACATTTGGATCTGAGACTTGACATATTTGAATGGATGTTAAAAATAAGGCTACTTGAATGTCTAGCCAAAATATGTCCCTGCCATCTGCTGGCCTCCCGAATGCACCAGGCAAAATTAGCATTGCTTAAATATGTTTTGCTGCATAAGCAGATCATAATCCATTGGCTCTGTTCCTTGGGGTACAGTACAGGAAGTTTTCATAAGTAGCCCTAGCAATAAATGCAGCAAGACGTTAATAATGTTCACTCTTTGCATAGCTGACTCCTTAGGGTGAGTTGTTTATAGATCATTTTTGATGATCATCTTTTAGCTTCTGCCTTCACTAAAGCATCTAGAAACTTGCAGCAAAGCCAACAGCATAAGTTATAGGAGAGAGTTTTGAAAAATACTTCTGTGAAGAAGTAAGTGTGATTTAATTTACTGAGAAGAAATAAATCTTCATAGTTTTAGCGCTTAATTTTTATGCTTTTGACTCTAGAGTGATCAAGTTATGTTCATGTAAGACAAACTTTTTAGCACTTCTGGGGGTGGAAGAGCAAGTGAAAGTCTGATGCTTCATCATTTTTGTTTAATGACTCTGATCTTAAAAATTTCTCAACACTGCCAAAGGTACAAATTGTAGAAATCAAGTGAACTGTGTCAGATTTTTCTGATAATCTACATCTGATGTGGCTTATGTCACCTGCTTCTGTGAGGCACTTTGATAACTCACTTCTGCGTAGCTTGCCCCGTGTCCATCTTTCAGCTACTGACAGAGGAGTGATTTGAAAACTTCTAACAGACAGCAATGAAAAATTGGTTGTAAACTTCAGATGCATTTGAAAGCGTGATCAGTAGCCCACATCTTGATAGAAGGAAGATCAGAAAAATGTTAAAGGTAAGAGAAATCCAAGTAAGACAGCCACTGTTACAGTTTGACAGTGGTCAGCCTCCTTGTCCTCTTAGAGCACACAAAGGTGTGTGCAGGCATGTGCTTCAAGCATTGACAGAAGTACTTGGATTGGTGTTTTGTGAAGGATAGCATATATCCTTCTGCGAATTTAAAATATATTTTTTTCTGGCACTTGGGGATCCAGGTGCCAGATTTATTCAATTAGAGTAAATATAGCAAGGCTTCAGCACTGGACCAACATACAGAGTATTTAGCAGTGCAGATCTGCAGCCTACCACGGGAACATGTGCCAGGTTCTTACTTCCCATCTTAGTAGAAACTGTATTTATAAAAATCCTACTTGATATAGAGAATAGTTGCTGGCATGGAATTCTTCTTGGAAGATGTTGTTCATGTATGGTGTACATGCAAGAGTTGTCTGAAGAGCTTCGCATCCCCAATAGAGCTCAGTCAGCCCTGAGAAATTCATATACATGAGAGCTCTTTTCAAAAAAATTCTCCAATACATATCTGAGACAAAGTCAGCAAAAGAGGGAAGCTAATAGAAATATGCATTTAAATGCTTACCTTTCCCGAATGTGATGCTGCTACTTTATGGGATACTTTTTGACTGATTTGGTACGAGGTAGTGAAAGTAATGTTAAAATCCAAAGTTCCCGAATGTAATGCTGCTACTTTATGGGGTACTTTTTGACTGATTTGGTACAAGGTAGTGAAAGTAATGTTAAAATCCAAAGTGGTATTAATTGGTGAAATCTCTGTTTTCAGGATTTGTGAAAGGAATTCAGACAGTCTTGCTCCCATGTACCTCTAATTGGCATAGCATAGATATCAGGTCAGGAAAAACCCAAAGTGATTAAAATACTGTATTTTCAGAAGGTAGTAAGTTGGGGTGGGGTGAGGGGGAGAAGGTGGTGTGGCTTCGCTGCTGCCCAGGGACAGAACTGGCAGTCTGGGGTATCTTTAATGATACTTATGAATAAGTAATGAATTTAATGCAAGAATAGGGACATGTTAACGAGGAGTGTGAGAAGGCCTTATTGTGGGAAGTGTTTACCCAGGGCGCCCAAGTTGTGTGTCTGTGAGATTTGCAAAATTGGTTGTTAATCAGGCTATGAATTAAGCACATCCCTCTTCAGTATCCTGTTTGTAGGGCTGGGCTGAGGAGTGTTTGCCACAGACCTCCTCCGGCGTGTTTCTCACTCTGCATGCTGCTGTTTAAAAGTGCTCCCGCTGTCTTTATGAATGTGTTCTCAGGTTTCCCAAGTGTGTTAAATGAAGTGGCTTAATTGATTTTAGGTTTTGTAATACCTGTGTTTTGCTTTATCTCAGTTGCCCTATCCAGCTGTAGCTATTTAGTTGAAAATTTCCTTTGAGTGCTACAGTACAAAGCAATGACAACAACGGAAGCCAATTTGAAAATAGTTATTGCAGACCCTGTTTCTTTGAGACTTTAAAAGGAAGGACTAATATTTTTTTGTCACAGACCTCTCTCTTCACAGCTACCTCAAAGTACTTCCCTCCTGCCCCGTCCTATGGCATTTGCTGCTCATCTTCTGAAATCTGGCCCTCGTTTCTAAACCTGGGAAGAGCATCCACAAGTAATGTGTGATACTTAAGACCCTCTTATGATTCCCTCTTGCTTGCCTCCTGCTCCTGACAAGGATTTCTGTATTCCTTTGTTACCTGGCCATGTCACATACTGGACTTTCCTGTAGCTCTCTTGCCGAGTGACCGAGACACTAGATCCCAGCAATCGGAATCGAACTCCTCTTGAACTTCATCCAAGTGTGTGGTCAGCTCTTTGATGGCATAGTCAAACGTGCCACATCTTTGAAGTCATCTTGTTGTGTTCTGTCTCTGGAATCCTTGTCTCTCTGGTACGTCTGTGAGATCCCTTCTCCAGCTCTTTGGCAGTGGACTTGGCCACTGCTCCCTCTCTCCTCCCCTTTCACAGCTTCTATCTGTCCAATTTCATCAAATACAGCTTCACCTGTTCAGCTCCAACAGGTCACTGTCTAGCAGTTGACCTAAACTAAGGATCTTTCCTTCTTTCAGTGACATGTGGGTATGTGGCCCTCAGCTTTGGGGCTCAGCCAGCCTCGAGGAAAGGAGCAGGGCCAGCACATGGTCAGGTTTGGACCAGCTCCTGTGGGTGTGCCCAGTTGGATTTTATCTGTGCAGCGTGTAGCTTAGAAATGCTGCGTAGTTCTCCTTAGCAATGAAAACCAAGTGACGCTTCCATTCTTTGCAAGTCATTAAGGGAGGCACAAATGTTATCAGAAATATCATTTAACCCAAATTAGTATCTTTGTGATATTTTGGGATCTCTCATTCTCAGCATTAAGTCACACAGAGCCACAAAAGACTTGTGAACAAACTCTGATTAGTACTAAAACCCCACAATTTTAATTCTAAATGAAAGACAGTTTGCCCTCTGGATGTTCTCACAGTCATAATCTCAGTTGCTTGGAAAGTAGAGCTGGTGGTGCCCATTTTTAGTCTTTTATTCCCTCTAAAAGGAAGTGATTCCGAAGGGAGAAGGAGGTTGGGACGTCTCACCCCCACACACACGCTTCCTTTAAGGAAATGTCTAGTTCCCGGGCATTTTGCCCAGCAGGGTTTAACACAACATATCTTCTGTTTGTAATACAGATACTAATAAATAAATTAAGATGATATGGAAAAGAGACCTGCAAATGCCATTCATGCTAGTGTGAGAAGCGTTCTGCTCTGCTGCTGGTTTTTCATGAAGAATGGCAGTGTTTGAGTGCGGTGACAGCTGCACCAAAATGAATAATCAGCATGTCAGATTCGTTTGAAGATGCAGAAGCTTTGGGTGCCAGCCATTACTTTAAAGATGTTTTTTTTCCTAAAAAGTGTGTATACATTTTAGCAAATGTAGTTTGCCTAATTATGTTTAATAAATTGGTCTCTAGTATATTTTAGATGACTGTGTAATTTATATACCCTAAAACTTTCAGCACAAATCACTTGTGAGTTTCATTTTCAGTTTCACCTGGGAGTTAAAATGAAACTTACTGAATACTTTGATCAATAAGAGATTGTTTTCCTGTTATCATACAGGATTTTCATTTAAATAGGTCAATATATTGATATGTAAATTGCATAATTACCTCATCTAAGTTTAGTCATCTGCAGACTAGTCATCTTGATGGCACCTGCTTGGGTGCCCTTACGCCAAGAGGAGGGGACAGGGATATTTTAGATGATGATTTTGTTCTTGGAGAGTGGAAGCATTAAAACAGAGTAGGTAGGCTATGGATACACCAGATTCTTTTTCACCAACTATCAAGGAAGATTTTCTACCTTGACGATCTTGGATGTAGGTATTTTTCTACACCCTTCTAAACCTCTGTGGTTGAATTCATCTAAATTTCTTCTTAAGGTAGGAAGAATATTTCTGAAAGTAAATTGTCTAGGTGTGTGGTTTGCTACCACTGAAATGCTGCTCTGTAAGCAGTAGTGGTAAGAAAGGAAAACAAAGAAGCTTTTGTTTTAAAACGCAGCATCATATGATAAAGAAGCAGGCCTGAAATGTAGTTTTCTTGCTTGCATTTCTTATGAGGTACTCAGTATCCAGGTGATGCTTTAAAAGTTCTGAAATACACACGCCTTTATAAACGGGGAGCTTAGATGGCCTAAGGGGATGGTCATTCCTGTCTGTTCATTCCTGCATATCGAGCTCTGAGGTTGAACTGCTGTTGAAATCTCCCTGCTGAATTATAGAGTGTTTTGATTTCAGCTGGACACTGAGCTCTGCCAAACCATCATTTAGTAGGAAACAGAACTCATCTGGCTACATCTGACTTCAGTCCATCACCTCTTTCTGAGTTTCCCATTCAGAATTTTGTGGCCTTGTTGGATTTCAAAACTGAGCCCCATCATCCTAGTTACTGGGAGAAAACCTCAGCATTAGCTGGATTTATTCCCAGTGAAGTCTATAGGTATTCTTGATTCCTGCTGCTCTGGGAAAAGAAGCAGTGATCTTGTACTCAGATTCAAATGTGTCTAGTGATGTGCAGTGTGCCGCTTTCAACCTTTTAACTGTCTGATCTCAGGATTTATCAAAGCCTCCAGTTTTTTTCTTTGCTAATCTATTGGTTTTTGTCAACCTCAAGTACGGATTCTCCAAACACAATCCCTAATAATTTCTGTGCAGACTAGTTGCTTTCTGTACCCTGTATCTTTCTATATCCTTTGTGCCCTAACAAGGTATCCATTTTTATTTAATGCCAATAAAATTTGATTTTCCTACATAATTTTCTATAAGCTTATTTGGTGATTAAAAATGCTTGAGTGACAGCCAGTACTTTATAGTAATTTTTTCTTCATTCCTCTTTCTTCTTGTCCTCTTGCACTTCTCCTCGAGAAGTGTATTTGACATAAACCTTGAGGCCTGGAAGTGTCAGATGGTCTCAGGCTGGGTTGGGTGTGACAAAAAGGTAGCACTTCATACCGGGGTGGAGTGAGGCAGAATAATTCTTAATGCAAAGTCAAATCTGAGCATTTGGCTCTTATTTTAATGCAGGTTATTTAGTGCTCTCAGGTGCTGGCAGTCTGCTTTGATATTGCTGTACTGGGGGAGTTAGTCTCAGTGTGTAGTTCTCTAGGGAATAGACCATGTTTTATCCAGGACCTGTTGTAAAAAGGGGAGAGGAAAAAAAAAAAGGTGCTGTTCATCCCTGCAGAGAAACTCCATGTCACATTCCAACTAGATTTTGCTGTTTGGTGTGAAGAAGAGCATGCCTAGACTCCCTTTAGTTCTTCATGGACGGATTTACAAGTTGTTCTAAAAACCATCTTTAGTTTCCTAAAAAGCTGGCTTCTGCAATAGAACTGGGAATAACTGCTGGTCTTGACTACGGCTAAACAGAGGAGTGAGTGTGTTCGCAGGCATAAATGGGGAGATAGTGCTAACATTTGAGTCATTAAAAAAATTAATTACACCATGAGTGATTTTTATGTAACTGTATGAGTGTATTCAATACAACTTTAACAGTTACAAAATTACAGACCCTGGAAAACCTAATTAGGGGAGAGTGTAAATAATCAAGAGCATGTGCTTGAGTGGGGTTGGGTTTTTTTCCAATTAATTTTCATAGTACCTGAATGGAATAACATGTAGCATCTGTAGGAGAAATTTCTGTTGTTGTCATTGTTCTAAGTCTGCCTGTCACCTCTTTTTAACGCGTTACCCAGCTGACCTCTGACAGCGATAATCATCACGCAGCGTTAACGGGCTGACTCATGTTGCAGCTCTCAGCCCCTAGATTTTTTTTTTCTTAATGAATTTCCAACAATAGTTCTCAGGAAATTACAGCCAGAAATATCTTTCTGGTTTGTAAGGATCCAGTTTCCTAACAAAACCAGCAATCCACATTTTATTGAGTTTTGTAGTCTGGGAATCAGCAAATCTTTGCCACCCTGTTCAGCGACACGAGAAACACCATCAGCAAAACGGGAAGAGGGACGTGTGTGAAAGCAGTGTAGTTGTCATGGTTGTCTTTCAACAAGGACATTGAAAAAGGACACTCTGGGGTAGGGAAAAACTATTATTATTTATTTTAATTTTAACCTCATTGTAGGTTTTATGACATAGAGTGCAGTCTTGGGGAGGGGAGAGCAAGGAATTACTTTTATCATAATCAACGTGTGGAGATAATGACAAGAATATATTAAACAAGGGAACACTTGTGCTTTTCAGGATGATCTGTGTTATCCTGTGGATGTTCCCTCGTGTGCCAGTTTCACTTTAGCAGCAGTAGAAGACGGGTGAAACCAGCAAATAGACTTTTAGTTCTGTAGAACTTCTGAGGGTAGTTTATACAGCATCTTGAAATTGCTTTCAGTAGAGACTTTTGGAGACGACTTGACAAACTTAGAAGCATTTTGGTGTTTTAGAACTTTTAAATTTGCTGTGAGGGGGGGAAAGGCATTTAGAGAGGATACTGTGGGTCACTGTATTTTCTTTGTTATTTTTGTACTGACTGACTTCCTGTGTCCATCCTCTTTTCACATCATGTTGGCCAGAGGTTTTGAAGTTTGAAGTGCCCCGTTCAAAGCAAATGCTCTGATGAAAGGACATCTGTGAAAGCAAACACTGAGTGTGAGAGAGAGAGAAGAGAGGATGCATCAGCATCACATGCTGATGTCCAGGCAGTTGGTAAAATCTGCATTTCTTGCTTTGCCCATGCTGTGGGTGTCTGAACAAAAGCAGAGTGATGGCTGTGGGGTCTGTTAGGTGCAGTCACTGCTGGCTGCACGGTGCTGGAAAAAAGGGGGAAGAGACTGTCCTGTTGGCAACATGCACCTTCCAGGTCGTGCTTAGTTTTCTCGGGGTCCTGTCAGTGAGCTAATTACTGATAAACTGATGAGAGGGGGTAAAGGATGTGTATTGAGCAGAGACCTGTCGAGTGGATGGTAAAAGGCATTTCTGGTATCTGTGACAGGAATTCTAAATTTGGGTAGCAGGAGCTGTGAAAGCTTTAGGGGTTTAATCTAAACACACACACGCACAACTCTTATTTATTTTTTTTTAAATACATGTATATTTTCATCAATATGTTGTTACAGGATATCATTAAGTAAATGGAGAGAATGCACAGTCAGTACCAATAGAAGTAGCTGGGTGTAGCTGTTAAGAGCAAGCAACATCACTGTGTCTGTTGGAAAAACTCAACTTGTGTCGTAACATCTCCTCTTGGTATCAAGTCTTTCCATTACTGAGTTGACATGCATAAATTTTGTTATATTGTGGATCTGTTTAGCATAGTTCTTCCAATAAAGGCGATATCTGAATCGGACTCACTGTAATAATGTGATGGATTTACTGTACCGACAGTTTGCAGTAGGTGAAGGCTTCTTAGATCAATGTGTGTGTGTTTTGTTGCCTTTCTGGGCATGGTAGAGTTCAGGTGGCCACTATGGCCAGACAACAGCACTGAAAGCCAGGGGAGAATTTAGCAAAGTGACTGCTGAAAAGAAAGAGCAGAGAGGGGCAGGGAGAGCAGAGTTGAAATCAGTTGGAAGGGAAGCAAGGTCTGACTTAAATGATTCAACATCTGGCAGTATAGCAGGAACCAGTAATAATGAAGATAAAGAAGCTGGGTTATGATTATGCATTGAAAACCATCATGCAGATCACCTCCCCCTGCTTGCTGAAAGGATGATGCACTGGGTTGGTTTTTTTTTTTCCAGGTGAAAAAGATTTCAGACAACCAAATATGAAAGTGTCATGAATCCTAACTGCGTATTTCAGTCTCCTTTTATAGGCAGATGGACCCTTGGAAAAAAAATAGCTGTAAGTTGGCAACGGAAAGCTCGACTGTGAAGCAGAAAGCTTGACTGTGTGGGTTTTTTGAATATGCGTAATTCTGTCTCCAAGCTCAGTCAGGAAAGCTAGGGGACAGATGCCAGCAACATTTTATCCTAGAAAGGGAAAAAAAAAAAAGGAACCCAAAAAAAGTGTGTGGGATGTTGTGGATTTTTTCCTTGAGCTGCATGATGTAGAAATGAGGACTGTAGAGCCCAGAAAGGGCTCGCCTTCAAACGGAACAAAGCTGTGCTGCCAGATGTTTACAAGTATTTTGAAAATGGCTTTTGCAATCATTTTCATGCTTTGCAAATAAGCAGGGGTCTGAAATAGCTCCACTGAAGTGGATTTTCTCCAAGCATGACAAACCCAAGGAGAGTTTACTGGGGTGCTGTGAGGAACCAGCAGGTGCTGGTGCACAAGGGCTGCTTGTGAGAGAGCTTGTAAAGGACAATTTTTAACTATATAGTGAGAAATCTTTTGGGAAAGAAGAGTAGTAAAAGACTTGGGGGTGACCTGAAGAGAAGTCAGTTGGCTGAGAGAATTGCCAACGTGTATTTGTGATAAACACCGTATCATCCAGTTTATGATTCAAAACTGAAATTTTCTTTAGGCAAGTAGATGATGCTGACACATCACACTGAACATATTTTCCATAAAAATTAGACTTCTACAGGTAGAAAGATGGGGTTTATTTCTAATGTAGCTTAAGCACTTGAAAGACTTATAAGCTTTGGAGGCCATTTGCTTGGAAACTGTTGAAGAACACTTTGAAGCCTGTGGATTAGTGGGTGTGGGTCTGACTACCTGGGGCAGCAGAACTGGAGATACCAGAGGGCAGCTGCAGAAAGGTAGACAGAAAGTTGCTGGTTTCTTGCTACAGCAGATAGGACTGTGCTCTGAAAAGAACTAAGATACCTGCTAGATACATATATGGCCTTTTCAAGAAGGACACAATCTCTTACTTGCTACTAATGATGGAAAGTTTTTTTTTGCTCAGAATTCTTCTGTTATGTCAAGACATTGTAGACCGTTATCCTTACTGCTATTTTAATTGAAAAATACATATACTTAGATGGCTAAAAATACTGCCGCTTCAAAGCAAGGAAAAGGTGCATCAGTTTCCAGCCTTTCTTAATTCAAACCTTTCCTGGTATTCCGAATTTACCTGAAAAACTTTGCCTTTAGAGGGGGTTTGGTTTTAGTCCATTGAGCAGATGGGTGACTGTCAACCCTGGGGTGCTCCTGGTGAAACTGCACGTCCCGGGAGGCTGAGAAGACAGTGGGGTTAGTGAACCCTGTCTGAAAGGGGGGATACAGGGTGTAAATTTGAGCCTGGAGGTTACAGTACCAGCGTAAATATAGCTACCGAGCAGCAGAACAGATTCCTTTCACACAGTGACTGAAGTTCTGACAGGCATAAAGTCAGTGTTTTTCTTCATTTCCCACTTACACATCTTGGGATATTTTTAAGGGATGATGCTTCTGTGATAGATTTAATTTTCTTTGGAAGTTTGGTTGCATAAACCTGAGGCCTGAGTAGGATTTTATACAGATGTGCAGTTGACACCAGAAACACCATAAGATTGACTTTCAAGACAGAGGCTCCTGGAGTGAGGGGCAGTGACTTAAGGGAATGTAGGACATTGCACCAGGAGCTGCATTAATTACCCTGATGGTGATCTTGCTGCCACCTTAGGAATCCATTTAGTGGTCACTGGTCTTTATATTTGCAAACAAAGAGAATCTTATTTTAAAGATACAGTAACAATTTAATTTGTTCAAAACTATGACTTTTCTTAAAGTAAAGGTACTTAACTCAAGCAACTTCAGATACACACAGAATGGGATTTTACACATGTTGGACAGAAATAAGAGAATCAAGCCACGACCAGAAAGATTCCAGAACTGCAAAGACGTTTTTGATTTGATCCTAACGTGTGAAGAAAGAGTCTATGATCAAGTAGTAGAAGGTAAGGATCTTGAACTGATAAACCAAGTTAAATTTGGATGCTTTTTTCCTCCCTCCTCCCTGAAGTCCTTCACAAATCTGGAAACATCTCTGTCTCCTCTGACTCCTGCTGCAGGAGAACCAGTAGGGACAAGAGCTCCAGTCCATGACTTAAACTATATGTACCAAAGAAGTGATGGCTGAATGCTTAGTTCTAAAAGATGCTGGTGTGGGCAGCTACACAGAATGTGTGTGCATAGCAATTTTAAGGACTGACATAAGGAAATCGCAAGCATTTGGAGAAACTCAAATATGTGTTGGGTTTGAAAATGCTCATAGATCTCGAAAACTAGCAAATTTTATGTGATGACCGTTTTTTCACCCTGGGTTGATGGAGAAACTAAGTCTAAGCCTTCTTCCTTATGCAGCTTCCCTTCCCTTGTCTGCAGAAGACTTCCTGTGCCCTTACCAAGCAGTTTATCCACAATAAGTACCTCCTGTTCCAGGTGGAGAAACTGTTCTGGAGCGTGGTTAGCACACTTGAAAACATGCTGTGGCTTTGCCCTCAAATGAGTCAGTGAGAGATGCCAGAAGGATCTCAGCTGGGGACTGGGTTCTGTGTGAACACAGTGCAGTGAGCTCAGTGTGAGCTCACCCCAAGTCGTGGGGTTTGGGGAATGACTCAGTGAGCTCCTGGGTTGGGAACCCTCCCTGTGGGAATGCTGGATACAGGCTGGTCTGGGGTCTAAGGTCTTTGCTTTACCTTGAAAGACCAGCCAGTGTATGAATTACTCTCATACACAACAGTTGAAAGGCTGTTGCCCTGCCTTTTCAGTCCTCAATGGTCATGCCACAAGTCATTGTCCTGGTTTGAGGGAAAACAGAACCAATTAGCTTTTCAGTAATTTTACTGAATATGGAGCAATACAGTGCACAATATGTTCAGGTTCCTGCAAGCTGAGAAATTACTGTTATGAATCTTTAAGTGAAGTGTTTGAAGTTTATTGGTAAGTTCTGAGAGCAACTGCCCTGGTGCTTGAATGGATCTTCAGCAGGTTCAGCGTGTCTCACACAGAAAGCAGCTTTCACTCTAGTTTTAGGTGAGAATCCTGAGGATTCTCCTAAACTCTAGTTTTAGGAGAATCCTGAGGAAGGGACGTGAAGAGCAAGCACTGGCTCATTTTCCAGTTGTGCATCTCTCTTAAGTTCATGGTGATGCCCTTCACAATTCACCAATGAAAGGAGGAAGGCTTTGAGACCCACCAAACGTCTCTAGATGTGAAAGCTGACACTTCAAAATGAAGGCCTCAACAGGTTTGCCCAAATGACGTTGCAGAATGGGGTTAGGAGAGAACAAGCTGTAGCTTAAAATATAGTGTGGAAGGTTTTGTTAGAGAGGCGTAACGGTAATTATGATTAGCAGGAAAATGTTTTATTTTTCCCCCTTAGCCCCTTGTTAATAAGTGAAACACATTAAAGCTAGAATTGTCTAATGTGACTGTCAGTCCTTAACTTGTAGGAGTTCACCTTGCAGTTTAGTTTTCAGAGTGTTGGATGTGTAGTGCTTTTTTGAAAAACAAGCAATTAAAGCTCTTCAGGTGAGGAAGCCCAAAATCATTCTTGACTTTTGAGAATCTTGATATCACTCTTTAACGACTGTCAGAGCAAGGTGGGCAGTAAATTTTCTTGACCAGCAAATAAGGTGTCATGACCCTTCCACAAAACTCAATTCTTTTGTTTCCAGAACTCATCTCTCATTTTTGAACTAAGAGGAATTACTGTTCAAGACCACATTAAATAAACAATTTTCCAAACATGAGTTTGGAGAAGGCAGAGTTGGACAATGTCTATGTATTTTCTTTAAATCTTATGTACGTTCTGTGTAAAATATACCATTCCACCCAAAGTTTTCCTGTTCTGTGTGTTTTGTTTTCAACTAGATTTAAATTCCAGAGAGCAGGAGACGTGTCAGCCAGTACATGTGATCAATGTGGACATTCAGGATAACCACGAGGAGGCCACCCTAGGTGCTTTCCTCATCTGTGAGCTCTGCCAGTGTGTAAGTAGAGGGGGCTCATTGCCTGTGGGTGCCTGGACCCTGCCAACTGCGCAGGGGTTGGGGTTTGCTCACTTCTCCTTCAACGTCCTGCACGTAGCAAAAGTTGTTTTAAGTAAAATCCGTGGTGAGACACAAGTTTCCAAATTCTTGTGGTGATTTTTGGAGCTGTTGTGCAAACAGATGAGTTGTAGCCGAGTTCACTGTTTCCAAAGTAGGCTCTGGGTCTGTGTGCTCAAACCCAATGTGTTGATAACTTACATGAAAAGCAGTTTTGCAAAGCACCACACAAAACAGTTACATGTGTTCAGCCTATACTCAGAACACTGTTTATGGCAGAAACATCCATTTCAAAAGCAGTTGTAATACGTGGGATTTAAACATCAGGTTGCACTCTGGACCATGATGCATTTGAAGAAGATCCTATATAGGTTTATTTAATGGCACCACCCTGTTGTGTGCATGATGTGTGCCCTCTGCCATCCACAATCAGGGGCTGTAGCTCTTGAAGCACGACTGAAATCAGCTGCACTCAAACAGTGGAGAGAAGAGAGGAAGGTTCCCTTTCCTCTTTCCTTCTGCAAATTGATGAGTTCACCTATTCCAGTGCGGCAACAGGCTTTTTTTTTTTAATTTTTTTTACTCCAGCCTGTGTGATCTATTCTGGTCTGAAATCCTTTCCAGATTCAGAAAGCCAAAGAGGGTTCAAGGACTTGAAATTTCAGCCATCTGTTCAGTGTGCCTGTAGCTATTCCGAAGCTTCCATTCGGTACCTAGCGAGGCTGGATGTTGCCTACTCAACAAAGTACTAGTTAAGTGCCAGTTCAGTGGGTTGGAGGAGGAAGGATATGCAGATAAACATGGTACAAAATAGATACATGTTTGGGAATGCTGGGAATCTCAGTAAAGCACCCAGTGTTTCATCCAGCCTGCTGGGTTAGATTTCCCAGTAAGCCAAAAGCCTGGAATTATTACAGTTTTCTAAACTACATGGTATCCTTGGAGTCTGGTTGCTTAGTATTTTTTTTTTTCCTCTTCTAGATACAGCACACAGAAGACATGGAAAATGAAATAGATGAGCTGTTACAGGAATTTGAAGAGAAAAGTGGAAGGACTTTTCTTCATACTGTCTGCTTTTATTAAAGCACATCTGTCTCTTAGGCCTTAATACAGATGAGGGAAGCATGTGTTTAAAGTTCCAATTATACTGTATTTTCCTGGAAAGTGAATATTGATCTTTTTTTTGTTTAAAAACTCCTTTTCGGTGTCTTTTTGTTTTGTTTCAGGTATTCTGTCACAGGTAGGCAGAGATACTGGTTGGGGTTGTACATATGAGATGATAAAAGTATACAGTGGGGTTTGGGGAATGACTCAGTGAGCTCCTGGGTTGGGAACCCTCCCTGTGGGAATGCTGGATACAGGCTGGTCTGGGGTCTAAGGTCTTTGCTTTACCTTGAAAGACCAGCCAGTGTATGAATTACTCTCATACACAACAGTTGAAAGGCTGTTGCCCTGCCTTTTCAGTCCTCAATGGTCATGCCACAAGTCATTGTCCTGGTTTGAGGGAAAACAGAACCAATTAGCTTTTCAGTAATTTTACTGAATATGGAGCAATACAGTGCACAATATGTTCAGGTTCCTGCAAGCTGAGAAATTACTGTTATGAATCTTTAAGTGAAGTGTTTGAAGTTTATTGGTAAGTTCTGAGAGCAACTGCCCTGGTGCTTGAATGGATCTTCAGCAGGTTCAGCGTGTCTCACACAGAAAGCAGCTTTCACTCTAGTTTTAGGTGAGAATCCTGAGGATTCTCCTAAACTCTAGTTTTAGGAGAATCCTGAGGAAGGGACGTGAAGAGCAAGCACTGGCTCATTTTCCAGTTGTGCATCTCTCTTAAGTTCATGGTGATGCCCTTCACAATTCACCAATGAAAGGAGGAAGGCTTTGAGACCCACCAAACGTCTCTAGATGTGAAAGCTGACACTTCAAAATGAAGGCCTCAACAGGTTTGCCCAAATGACGTTGCAGAATGGGGTTAGGAGAGAACAAGCTGTAGCTTAAAATATAGTGTGGAAGGTTTTGTTAGAGAGGCGTAACGGTAATTATGATTAGCAGGAAAATGTTTTATTTTTCCCCCTTAGCCCCTTGTTAATAAGTGAAACACATTAAAGCTAGAATTGTCTAATGTGACTGTCAGTCCTTAACTTGTAGGAGTTCACCTTGCAGTTTAGTTTTCAGAGTGTTGGATGTGTAGTGCTTTTTTGAAAAACAAGCAATTAAAGCTCTTCAGGTGAGGAAGCCCAAAATCATTCTTGACTTTTGAGAATCTTGATATCACTCTTTAACGACTGTCAGAGCAAGGTGGGCAGTAAATTTTCTTGACCAGCAAATAAGGTGTCATGACCCTTCCACAAAACTCAATTCTTTTGTTTCCAGAACTCATCTCTCATTTTTGAACTAAGAGGAATTACTGTTCAAGACCACATTAAATAAACAATTTTCCAAACATGAGTTTGGAGAAGGCAGAGTTGGACAATGTCTATGTATTTTCTTTAAATCTTATGTACGTTCTGTGTAAAATATACCATTCCACCCAAAGTTTTCCTGTTCTGTGTGTTTTGTTTTCAACTAGATTTAAATTCCAGAGAGCAGGAGACGTGTCAGCCAGTACATGTGATCAATGTGGACATTCAGGATAACCACGAGGAGGCCACCCTAGGTGCTTTCCTCATCTGTGAGCTCTGCCAGTGTGTAAGTAGAGGGGGCTCATTGCCTGTGGGTGCCTGGACCCTGCCAACTGCGCAGGGGTTGGGGTTTGCTCACTTCTCCTTCAACGTCCTGCACGTAGCAAAAGTTGTTTTAAGTAAAATCCGTGGTGAGACACAAGTTTCCAAATTCTTGTGGTGATTTTTGGAGCTGTTGTGCAAACAGATGAGTTGTAGCCGAGTTCACTGTTTCCAAAGTAGGCTCTGGGTCTGTGTGCTCAAACCCAATGTGTTGATAACTTACATGAAAAGCAGTTTTGCAAAGCACCACACAAAACAGTTACATGTGTTCAGCCTATACTCAGAACACTGTTTATGGCAGAAACATCCATTTCAAAAGCAGTTGTAATACGTGGGATTTAAACATCAGGTTGCACTCTGGACCATGATGCATTTGAAGAAGATCCTATATAGGTTTATTTAATGGCACCACCCTGTTGTGTGCATGATGTGTGCCCTCTGCCATCCACAATCAGGGGCTGTAGCTCTTGAAGCACGACTGAAATCAGCTGCACTCAAACAGTGGAGAGAAGAGAGGAAGGTTCCCTTTCCTCTTTCCTTCTGCAAATTGATGAGTTCACCTATTCCAGTGCGGCAACAGGCTTTTTTTTTTTAATTTTTTTTACTCCAGCCTGTGTGATCTATTCTGGTCTGAAATCCTTTCCAGATTCAGAAAGCCAAAGAGGGTTCAAGGACTTGAAATTTCAGCCATCTGTTCAGTGTGCCTGTAGCTATTCCGAAGCTTCCATTCGGTACCTAGCGAGGCTGGATGTTGCCTACTCAACAAAGTACTAGTTAAGTGCCAGTTCAGTGGGTTGGAGGAGGAAGGATATGCAGATAAACATGGTACAAAATAGATACATGTTTGGGAATGCTGGGAATCTCAGTAAAGCACCCAGTGTTTCATCCAGCCTGCTGGGTTAGATTTCCCAGTAAGCCAAAAGCCTGGAATTATTACAGTTTTCTAAACTACATGGTATCCTTGGAGTCTGGTTGCTTAGTATTTTTTTTTTTCCTCTTCTAGATACAGCACACAGAAGACATGGAAAATGAAATAGATGAGCTGTTACAGGAATTTGAAGAGAAAAGTGGAAGGACTTTTCTTCATACTGTCTGCTTTTATTAAAGCACATCTGTCTCTTAGGCCTTAATACAGATGAGGGAAGCATGTGTTTAAAGTTCCAATTATACTGTATTTTCCTGGAAAGTGAATATTGATCTTTTTTTTGTTTAAAAACTCCTTTTCGGTGTCTTTTTGTTTTGTTTCAGGTATTCTGTCACAGGTAGGCAGAGATACTGGTTGGGGTTGTACATATGAGATGATAAAAGTATACACAAAGGCCACCTATTTAAAAATTAAAATCAAGTTTTTTCTTTAAATCCTACTTATTACAAGTAGGTCTTTAATTATAAAGAGAATGTTTCTTGAATATAAGTTTATAATGTATTTTTCCAGCTTACAAATTTATTTTATTTCAGTTGTGCTTTTTCTTTTTTTTTTTTAAAAAAGTGTGTGGGATGTTGTGGATTTTTTCCTTGAGCTGCATGATGTAGAAATGAGGACTGTAGAGCCCAGAAAGGGCTCGCCTTCAAACGGAACAAAGCTGTGCTGCCAGATGTTTACAAGTATTTTGAAAATGGCTTTTGCAATCATTTTCATGCTTTGCAAATAAGCAGGGGTCTGAAATAGCTCCACTGAAGTGGATTTTCTCCAAGCATGACAAACCCAAGGAGAGTTTACTGGGGTGCTGTGAGGAACCAGCAGGTGCTGGTGCACAAGGGCTGCTTGTGAGAGAGCTTGTAAAGGACAATTTTTTAACTATATAGTGAGAAATCTTTTGGGAAAGAAGAGTAGTAAAAGACTTGGGGGTGACCTGAAGAGAAGTCAGTTGGCTGAGGGAAGTGCCAACGTGTATTTGTGATAAACACCGTATCATCCAGTTTATGATTCAAAACTGAAATTTTCTTTAGGCAAGTAGATGATGCTGACACATCACACTGAACATATTTTCCATAAAAATTAGACTTCTACAGGTAGAAAGATGGGGTTTATTTCTAATGTAGCTTAAGCACTTGAAAGACTTATAAGCTTTGGAGGCCATTTGCTTGGAAACTGTTGAAGAACACTTTGAAACCTGTGGATTAGTGGGTGTGGGTCTGACTACCTGGGGCAGCAGAACTGGAGATACCAGAGGGCAGCTGCAGAAAGGTAGACAGAAAGTTGCTGGTTTCTTGCTACAGCAGATAGGACTGTGCTCTGAAAAGAACTAAGATACCTGCTAGATACATATATGGCCTTTTCAAGAAGGACACAATCTCTTACTTGCTACTAATGATGGAAAGTTTTTTTTTGCTCAGAATTCTTCTGTTATGTCAAGACATTGTAGACCGTTATCCTTACTGCTATTTTAATTGAAAAATACATATACTTAGATGGCTAAAAATACTGCCGCTTCAAAGCAAGGAAAAGGTGCATCAGTTTCCAGCCTTTCTTAATTCAAACCTTTCCTGGTATTCCGAATTTACCTGAAAAACTTTGCCTTTAGAGGGGGTTTGGTTTTAGTCCATTGAGCAGATGGGTGACTGTCAACCCTGGGGTGCTCCTGGTGAAACTGCACGTCCCGGGAGGCTGAGAAGACAGTGGGGTTAGTGAACCCTGTCTGAAAGGGGGGATACAGGGTGTAAATTTGAGCCTGGAGGTTACAGTACCAGCGTAAATATAGCTACCGAGCAGCAGAACAGATTCCTTTCACACAGTGACTGAAGTTCTGACAGGCATAAAGTCAGTGTTTTTCTTCATTTCCCACTTACACATCTTGGGATATTTTTAAGGGATGATGCTTCTGTGATAGATTTAATTTTCTTTGGAAGTTTGGTTGCATAAACCTGAGGCCTGAGTAGGATTTTATACAGATGTGCAGTTGACACCAGAAACACCATAAGATTGACTTTCAAGACAGAGGCTCCTGGAGTGAGGGGCAGTGACTTAAGGGAATGTAGGACATTGCACCAGGAGCTGCATTAATTACCCTGATGGTGATCTTGCTGCCACCTTAGGAATCCATTTAGTGGTCACTGGTCTTTATATTTGCAAACAAAGAGAATCTTATTTTAAAGATACAGTAACAATTTAATTTGTTCAAAACTATGACTTTTCTTAAAGTAAAGGTACTTAACTCAAGCAACTTCAGATACACACAGAATGGGATTTTACACATGTTGGACAGAAATAAGAGAATCAAGCCACGACCAGAAAGATTCCAGAACTGCAAAGACGTTTTTGATTTGATCCTAACGTGTGAAGAAAGAGTCTATGATCAAGTAGTAGAAGGTAAGGATCTTGAACTGATAAACCAAGTTAAATTTGGATGCTTTTTTCCTCCCTCCTCCCTGAAGTCCTTCACAAATCTGGAAACATCTCTGTCTCCTCTGACTCCTGCTGCAGGAGAACCAGTAGGGACAAGAGCTCCAGTCCATGACTTAAGCTATATGTACCAAAGAAGTGATGGCTGAATGCTTAGTTCTAAAAGATGCTGGTGTGGGCAGCTACACAGAATGTGTGTGCATAGCAATTTTAAGGACTGACATAAGGAAATCGCAAGCATTTGGAGAAACTCAAATATGTGTTGGGTTTGAAAATGCTCATAGATCTCGAAAACTAGCAAATTTTATGTGATGACCGTTTTTTCACCCTGGGTTGATGGAGAAACTAAGTCTAAGCCTTCTTCCTTATGCAGCTTCCCTTCCCTTGTCTGCAGAAGACTTCCTGTGCCCTACCAAGCAGTTTATCCACAATAAGTACCTCCTGTTCCAGGTGGAGAAACTGTTCTGGAGCGTGGTTAGCACACTTGAAAACATGCTGTGGCTTTGCCCTCAAATGAGTCAGTGAGAGATGCCAGAAGGATCTCAGCTGGGGACTGGGTTCTGTGTGAACACAGTGCAGTGAGCTCAGTGTGAGCTCACCCCAAGTCGTGGGGTTTGGGGAATGACTCAGTGAGCTCCTGGGTTGGGAACCCTCCCTGTGGGAATGCTGGATACAGGCTGGTCTGGGGTCTAAGGTCTTTGCTTTACCTTGAAAGACCAGCCAGTGTATGAATTACTCTCATACACAACAGTTGAAAGGCTGTTGCCCTGCCTTTTCAGTCCTCAATGGTCATGCCACAAGTCATTGTCCTGGTTTGAGGGAAAACAGAACCAATTAGCTTTTCAGTAATTTTACTGAATATGGAGCAATACAGTGCACAATATGTTCAGGTTCCTGCAAGCTGAGAAATTACTGTTATGAATCTTTAAGTGAAGTGTTTGAAGTTTATTGGTAAGTTCTGAGAGCAACTGCCCTGGTGCTTGAATGGATCTTCAGCAGGTTCAGCGTGTCTCACACAGAAAGCAGCTTTCACTCTAGTTTTAGGTGAGAATCCTGAGGATTCTCCTAAACTCTAGTTTTAGGAGAATCCTGAGGAAGGGACGTGAAGAGCAAGCACTGGCTCATTTTCCAGTTGTGCATCTCTCTTAAGTTCATGGTGATGCCCTTCACAATTCACCAATGAAAGGAGGAAGGCTTTGAGACCCACCAAACGTCTCTAGATGTGAAAGCTGACACTTCAAAATGAAGGCCTCAACAGGTTTGCCCAAATGACGTTGCAGAATGGGGTTAGGAGAGAACAAGCTGTAGCTTAAAATATAGTGTGGAAGGTTTTGTTAGAGAGGCGTAACGGTAATTATGATTAGCAGGAAAATGTTTTATTTTTCCCCCTTAGCCCCTTGTTAATAAGTGAAACACATTAAAGCTAGAATTGTCTAATGTGACTGTCAGTCCTTAACTTGTAGGAGTTCACCTTGCAGTTTAGTTTTCAGAGTGTTGGATGTGTAGTGCTTACTGACACTTCAAAAAAACCTTCAACAGGTTTGCCCAAATGAAGTTGCAGAATGGGATTAAGAGAGAACAAGCTGTAGCTTAAAAACAGTGTGGAAGGTTATGTTAGAGAGGTGTAACAGTAATACATGGGAGGATTAGCAGGAAAAGGATGTTTTATTTTTCCCCCCTTAGCCCCTTGTTAATAAGTGAAACACATTACAGCTAGAATTGTCTAATGTGACTTGTCAGTCCTTAACTTGTAGGAGTTCACCTTGCAGTTTAGTTTTCAGAGTGTTGGATGTGCAGTGCTTTTTTGAAAAACAAGCAATTAAAGCTCTTCAGGTGAGGAAGCCCAAAATCATTTTTGACTTTTGAGAATCTTGATATCACTCTTTAACGACTGTCAGAGCAAGGTGGGCAGTAAATTTTCTTGACCAGCAAATAAGGTGTCATGACCCTTCCACAAAACTCAATTCTTTTGTTTCCAGAACTCATCTCTCATTTTTGAACTAAGAGGAATTACTGTTCAAGACCACATTAAATAAACAATTTTCCAAACATGAGTTTGGAGAAGGCAGAGTTGGACAATGTCTATGTATTTTCTTTAAATCTTATGTACGTTCTGTGTAAAATATACCATTCCACCCAAAGTTTTCCTGTTCTGTGTGTTTTGTTTTCAACTAGATTTAAATTCCAGAGAGCAGGAGACGTGTCAGCCAGTACATGTGATCAATGTGGACATTCAGGATAACCACGAGGAGGCCACCCTAGGTGCTTTCCTCATCTGTGAGCTCTGCCAGTGTGTAAGTAGAGGGGGCTCATTGCCTGTGGGTGCCTGGACCCTGCCAACTGCACAGGGGTTGGGGTTTGCTCACTTCTCCTTCAACGTCCTGCACGTAGCAAAAGTTGTTTTAAGTAAAATCCGTGGTGAGACACAAGTTTCCAAATTCTTGTGGTGATTTTTGGAGCTGTTGTGCAAACAGATGAGTTGTAGCCGAGTTCACTGTTTCCAAAGTAGGCTCTGGGTCTGTGTGCTCAAACCCAGCACAATACGTTCAGGTTCCTGCAAGCTGAGCGATTACTGTTATGAATCTTTATGTGAAGTGTTTGAAGTTTATTGGTAAGTTCTAAGAGCAACTGCCCTGGTGCTTGAATGGATCTTCAGCAGGTTCAGTGTGTCTCACACAGAAAGCAGCTTTCTCTCTAGTTTTAGTTGAGAATCCTGAGGAAGGGACGTGAAGAGCAAGCACTGGCTAATTTTCCAGTTGTGCATCTCTCTTAACTTCATGGTAACGCCCTTCACAATTCACCAATGAAAGGAGGAAGGCTTTGAGACCCACCAAACGTCTCTAGATGTGAAAACTGACACTTCAAAAAAACCTTCAACAGGTTTGCCCAAATGAAGTTGCAGAATGGGATTAAGAGAGAACAAGCTGTAGCTTAAAAACAGTGTGGAAGGTTATGTTAGAGAGGTGTAACAGTAATACATGGGAGGATTAGCAGGAAAAGGATGTTTTATTTTTCCCCCCTTAGCCCCTTGTTAATAAGTGAAACACATTACAGCTAGAATTGTCTAATGTGACTTGTCAGTCCTTAACTTGTAGGAGTTCACCTTGCAGTTTAGTTTTCAGAGTGTTGGATGTGCAGTGCTTTTTTGAAAAACAAGCAATTAAAGCTCTTCAGGTGAGGAAGCCCAAAATCATTTTTGACTTTTGAGAATCTTGATATCACTCTTTAACGACTGTCAGAGCAAGGTGGGCAGTAACTTTTCTTGACCAGCAAATAAGCTGTCATGACCCTTCCACAAACCTCAATTCTTTTGTTTCTAGAATCCATCTCTCATTTTTGAACTAAGAGGAATTACTATTCAAGACCATATTAAATAAACAATTTTCCAAACCTGAGTTTGGAGAAGGCAGAGTTTGACAATGTCTATGTATTTTCTTTAAATCTTATGTATGTTCTGTGTAAAATATACCATTCCACCCAAAGTTTTCCTGTTCTGTGTGTTTTGTTTTCAACTAGATTTAAATTCCAGAGAGCAGGAGACGTGTCAGCCAGTACATGTGATCAATGTGGACATTCAGGATAACCACGAGGAGGCCACCCTAGGTGCTTTCCTCATCTGTGAGCTCTGCCAGTGTGTAAGTAGAGGGGGCTCATTGCCTGTGGGTGCCTGGACCCTGCCAACTGCACAGGGGTTGGGGTTTGCTCACTTCTCCTTCAACGTCCTGCACGTAGCAAAAGTTGTTTTAAGTAAAATCCGTGGTGAGACACAAGTTTCCAAATTCTTGTGGTGATTTTTGGAGCTGTTGTGCAAACAGATGAGTTGTAGCCGAGTTCACTGTTTCCAAAGTAGGCTCTGGGTCTGTGTGCTCAAACCCAATGTGTTGATAACTTACATGAAAAGCAGTTTTGCAAAGCACCACACAAAACAGTTACATGTGTTCAGCCTATACTCAGAACACTGTTTATGGCAGAAACATCCATTTCAAAAGCAGTTGTAATACGTGGGATTTAAACATCAGGTTGCACTCTGGACCATGATGCATTTGAAGAAGATCCTATGTAGGTGTATTTAATGGCACCACCCTGTTGTGTGCATGATGTGTGCCCTCTGCCATCCACAATCAGGGGCTGTAGCTCTTGAAGCACGACTGAAATCAGCTGCACTCAAACAGTGGAGAGAAGAGAGGAAGGTTCCCTTTCCTCTTTCCTTCTGCAAATTGATGAGTTCACCTATTCCAGTGCGGCAACAGGCTTTTTTTTTTTAATTTTTTTTACTCCAGCCTGTGTGATCTATTCTGGTCTGAAATCCTTTCCAGATTCAGAAAGCCAAAGAGGGTTCAAGGACTTGAAATTTCAGCCATCTGTTCAGTGTGCCTGTAGCTATTCCGAAGCTTCCATTCGGTACCTAGCGAGGCTGGATGTTGCCTACTCAACAAAGTACTAGTTAAGTGCCAGTTCAGTGGGTTGGAGGAGGAAGGATATGCAGATAAACATGGTACAAAATAGATACATGTTTGGGAATGCTGGGAATCTCAGTAAAGCACCCAGTGTTTCATCCAGCCTGCTGGGTTAGATTTCCCAGTAAGCCAAAAGCCTGGAATTATTACAGTTTTCTAAACTACATGGTATCCTTGGAGTCTGGTTGCTTAGTATTTTTTTTTTTCCTCTTCTAGATACAGCACACAGAAGACATGGAAAATGAAATAGATGAGCTGTTACAGGAATTTGAAGAGAAAAGTGGAAGGACTTTTCTTCATACTGTCTGCTTTTATTAAAGCACATCTGTCTCTTAGGCCTTAATACAGATGAGGGAAGCATGTGTTTAAAGTTCCAATTATACTGTATTTTCCTGGAAAATGAATATTGATCTTTTTTTTGTTTAAAAACTCCTTTTTGGTGTCTTTTTGTTTTGTTTCAGGTATTCTGTCACAGGTAGGCAGAGATACTGGTTGGGGTTGTACATATGAGATGATAAAAGTATACACAAAGGCCACCTATTTAAAAATGAAAATCAAGTTTTTTCTTTAAATCCTACTTATTACAAGTAGGTCTTTAATTATAAAGAGAATGTTTCTTGAATATAAGTTTATAATGTATTTTTCCAGCTTACAAATTTATTTTATTTCAGTTGTGCTTTTTCTTTTTTTTTTTTATTTTAATGTGACAGAATGGCTGAACTACGTGAGGATATGAATGGAACAATGAAAAACGAGTATCTGTATATTATTAGATATAAAGTTGGAAGCATCCAATAAAAATGAAAAAAAACCTGTAAGTTTGTCTGTCTTCAAAACAGAAGCTGAGTGAGTTTAGCTGTTCTCTGCAAGGTAAAACACAAACTGTGTGTAGTAGAACAGGAATGGTCGTTCATCCAAAGGGTCTTGGAGAGGGGAGTGACAGTGAGAAGGTCTTGGTAGGAATTGAGAGACCTGAGCTGTGTGTCTGGGCAGCTCATAATGATTTTTCGATCCGCTGTTGAACGGAAGACCTGCTTTCTCTGCATGAATTGGGGCACTACCAGGAAATCTTTTGGGATCTTAATTGCTTTTGAATTATCATGTGTGAGATTAATAAGACTGGGAGGCTGTAACCGTAGGAGTGGGGGCCAGCTGGGATGTATGTCTTCTATAAGGAAGATGGGGGAGAAACAGCAAATTCCACTGTCAATAGAAATAGTGTAAAGCTTTTTTTTTTTTTTTTTTTAACTGAAGTATCTCTTGAATAGAAGCATTTTCCTCCCATGCAGCAATAATAAACATGCTTGTCACGGCTTAAAGCCCATAAATTGAGTAGTTGTATACAAACAGAGCAAAAGCTCAGACTTCTGTTTGTTCTAACTGATAGAAGTTAAAAGTGAAAACAAACTAAATTATTAGACATTTGAAATGCGAATGGTGAAAGTGTTGCTGCTTATAGGCACGAGGAGATCTTAAAGTCATTTTGTTGAACCTTTAACAGCAAAAGAAGTCTGTGCTCTTTAATACAGGACAACTTTCTAAACATCATGTGAGGTAAGGTAACACGGAATGGGGTTTGAGCTGGTTTCTCTCTCTATCACTGACCTCTCACAGCTTACGTGAATCACCTAATTTTTCCTTAATTTCAGTCATTTTGCACATGCAGGAGGATAGTGCTGAGTGCTTCCTCTCAATTTAGGGCAGCACTGCCCATCTATGCAGAGAACTCAGGCTGTGTGTGCAGTCAGTCATCCAGCAGTGCTGCTTCACCTGTTGTAGTGAACACACCTGTGTGTGGTAAAAGGCATCAGCTCCACACCCAAAAACTGCAAATCCAGGTCTGAAAACACTTCTTTGCCGTTGCAGATCTTGCAGTCTGTTGGGTCAGGCCCCTCTCTCTCCTCCTGGGACCTGGGGGTTGGCTGTGGTCGCGACTGCCTTGTGGGGAGAAGGGAGACCTCTGCCAGCTCCATCTGTGTCCTGGACGGGGTCCAAATGGGTCATTGCATCCTACTCGGGTCCCAGGAATGTTTAATATCCCTGAGTTACCTGGGCTGGTTTTCTTCTCTGTTAAAAATACTTAAAGCAAAAAATTTTGTGGCAAATGAATGTGTAGATCAGGACAATTCGGGGATGGGGGGATCAAGCAGCAGTTGTGATGAGGTTTGTCTTCTGATGTGCTTGTCCTGTCCCATTTTTGTTTCTGGAGAACTCAGTATTTGAAGGATTTCATTCAGCCTCCCCTGCTTCTGCTCATTTGTCTGTCTGATACCATCGCTTGTTACCATGGGGATATTTACAGCCAAAGGAAGAAGAGGATTCTGTAAGGACTGCACTGCTTTCCTTGAGCTCTTTAAAAAGACATTTCAAGCAAGTACAGGGTATTTTGAGCAGAGTTTTCCTTCCCTTCGCAGTGTCAGTGCCAAGGTCTGCTCTGTGGCAGGGAGAAACTTGGAGGCTGTTTGAAAATTGTTTCCTACTTTCAATTTGATTCATCCTAAACAGAGCTCCGTGTTGCTGTTTCATAGGAAGGCAGTAAAAACCCAAACAGGATGTTTTAGCCTGTGTTTGTGCATATGTGGAGATTTACAGCAGTGTCCTTTTTATTACATAAAGATTATACTTTTTGTGTGCGAATTTGGCAGAGAATTCTGGTTGCTGTGGTCCTAGGAATGGATTAATTAGTAGAAATTCAATTCACTGCACCTCTTCAACTGGAATGGGAAGCCTTGGTCTAAAACCATGATATAGTACGTAGGATATTGCAGAATTCTTCTTTCCACCCTAACTCTTCTCTTCATAAGGAAAAGCAGCTCTGGGAGCTGGGAGCTTCTCATTTGTTTGTTTACCAGTGTGCGGGAGGACATTTGACTGGATGGATGGATGATGGATGGACGGATGGATGACCAGGATGGACAGGCAATTATTCTGAGTGATCCACAGTCCCGTTCAAACCACTTCAGATCTCTGTGAGCAAAACAGTTTCTTGTTCTTTAGCTAAAGCTGTTCTTACTTCTGACACGTTACTTCTCATTTAACTCAAAGATTAGCGAAAAATGTATGCATTTATATACTTTGTGTGCTTCATTTGCATTGAAACCCACAGTGAAGCACAGTTTATACAGGAATTTTGTGGGGTTCTAGTCTTGTTTGAGAGATACACTTGTTTATACACACACAAATATTTCTTTCTAGGAAAGAAATTATTGATTAAAGAACAGCACCTATTGAAGTGCTTTTTTTGCCAAGAACTTCTTGAGGTTTCCTTCTCTCCCCTCTCAGCCATTGGCAGACCCTGTCTGTAGGGCACAGAGCAGCTGAGCCCTGTTCGCTTCTAGTTTCCAGTCTGTTTTCATTTCACAAGAGTCATTTCTGATTTTTGGGGCCGTTTTCTGTGTTCCTGGTCTGGCTTAAGACCTTCGTAACATTCGTGAACATTCTTCTTCCTGTCAGAGACACCAGCACGTCTTTCAAATAGGTTTCTGTAAACAAAAGCACTGCTGGTGTCTTGTCCCTGAAGTTCTCTCTCTTGTTGGGTTCCTTCTCTTGCCTCTAAGGGTCAGTGCACCAAGTGACACAGATAATGCGATCGGACCCTGTTTGGTGGAAAAGAGGGTTTTTTCGCTGGGTTTTGGTACTGCTGGATCCGACCGTGCGCAGATCAATGATCCTCTCTAGATTTCCCCACTGCAGCAGCCGAATGGATTTGTTGCTAGGCAGATTAGCCAGCTTCAACTTCTGTTCCTCGTACATGTAGGAGCTTAGGAGGAGGTATCAACAAACACAAACGCTTGTGCCAGCACAGGAGTAATAAAACAGGGGAATAAAAACGTGAGTGGAGTACAGGGAGGGTGTGGGACAGCTGAGTGGGCTCTTGTGGAAGAAAAAAAAAAGAGAGAAATGCTAGCTCTGGTTGTTGTTAGACTCCTCCATAAATTGACTTGTGTGAGCACTGTGGAACGTCAGCTGAGGTTCCTTCAGGAGGAAAGCAGAGGGAGTCAGTTCCTGTGAACGTGGCTTGTGATAATATTACCTGGGGCTACGTATTCACAGGGCAAAAAATATCCGAGGTGGCCCCCATACAGAGCACTGTGGTCTTTTTTGCCATCTTAGCCAGTAGTGCTGGGGGTTAAAAGATACTTTATAAGCCCTCAAGGGCTGGGAACTGAAGGAGGCTGGGTGACGGTACCGTGTCACGCAGCAGGGTTGGGCTAGAAGAAAGGCAAAGGCAGGGGTCACTTGGTTGGGGACTGGCCTGATGTTGCTGAGCTCTTGTTTTGCAGATGATGGACTCGTCTGGGTGAGGGTGCTGGTGACAGTACAAGGTGAGAGTTGAGGTTGACAGGGTCACGGGTCATCATAGGTGATGCAGATGCTTGTTGTCAAAAAGGATGAGCTTAATTCTAGCAATATTAAAGTGGTTAGGAATAAATTTAGCAAAACCATTGTGGTGGTAACCCTGAACTGTCTAAGCATCCCTTCGCACCTACATTAGAAAGACAACCCTGGCTCCTACAAGTATAATGTCACTTTGCTAAAACACAGCCAGTCCCTGCTGCCTCTTTTCATCAGCTGGAAGTCGCCAGAGAAACTTCTTGGCCTTATTTCCCCCAGACACGCAGACGAAAGGCCAGACTGGCTGAACACCAGGCATGGCCTCAGGTGGTTCTTGCTTCTCCAGCTAATCGGGCTGCGAGCGGCCAAGAGTTCAGCGTGTGCTCGTCCCGAATGGGACAGAAATGTTGCTGGTGGTTTGTTTCTGCAGGAACAGGCAGCCTCTTTGTGTTTGCCCAGGTTTGTCTCCGGTCTGATCCCTGCCTTGGCCCTGCAGAGCTCCATGTTTCCACCACGGGTTGCTGTGAAGAGCTGCTTCTTGGAAAAACTCAAGTCAGGGGAGCACACCTAGATGTGGTGGGGTCAGGAGGATGGGGCAAGAGGAGCTTTTCAAGGTCCAGCCAGGTCTGGCCATGTTGAGAATGGGCCAGGAAGAGCAATGAGGAACCTGGTTTGGGTGACGCTGCAGTGAAGGAAGTGTGAGATGCTCCTGGCTGCAGAATGGCAGGGGTCACTTGGTGCTCCTGCCCACGGAGGGAGGATGAAGGTGGAGAGAGGAGAAGGAATTGCTGGTGTAATTGAGTGCTGAAGATCATTGACTCAAACGTTGTGTGCGGTGACTGGGTTTAATGAAGACTGTGTTAATTTCATGGCTGCTCTCCCCGTTTGCAGCCCTGTGAGCCCATCAGATTTAGTAAAACCTGTGCTCTGGGCCATGCTGTGGGCACAAGAGAGGACCCTCTTGCTGTTGTGCCCAGACTGGGATGAAGTTTGTTGGCCATCAGGCCGCTCCACCACCCTGTATCTGGAGGCAGGAGGTGAAGACCGTGAGGTACAACCAGGACTGTGGCACACAGAGAACAAGATGATCCCAGCAGTGATGTTTGGTGTCCCCCATCAACCAGGACTTCTGCTCCAGAAGGACAATGAGGGAAGAGGGCTCCTCCAGAGGTAGGCTGAGAAACCCAGCTTACACCCCAGTGTGTCTGAAGCCCAGCTGAGAGCTGGCCCAGCCTGGGGACGGGTGGGAGATGGGGAATGGTGGCTGGTGGCCAGGCATGACTTCAGCTGCACAAAATCCCTTCCCACTTGTCTTCACATCGCCTGGTCTCTCCTGTGATTTTTTTTTTATTTATTTATTTTTTATTTAGCTGTTACTTTAAAAAAGCCTGTGTTTTCTACAACTGGCAGAGTAACCAGCTGCATTGTCCCTGCATCACCCCCACCCAGGTCTGGGTAGGACCCACCTCCAATAACTCATCCAGAAGAGAAAGCAGCCCAGGGCTGTTGAGGAGGGAACCCTGATGGGTCGGGCAGGGTTGTGGCGTCCCTGCTCTTTTTGTTGCTGCTCTTTTGCATGAAGTGCCCGGTTTATCAAATGTTTCATGTGTGTGGTTTAATTGGGGAAAAAAAAAAAAAAAAAAAATCTGCAATGCAATCTGTGCTCTAATTTGAGGACACCATTTAGTGATTTTAATTGTGTGACAGTATTTTGGTATTTTCAATACCCAGTAGTAGGTTAATGACTGTTCCTTGAAGAATGGAGTTTATATAACACAAGTCCTTACATAAGGAGGCTGATGGTGGCCTCAGGAACCAGGAAAACAAAGATGCAGGAATGCACACCCCAGAACAAGCAAACTCCACCTGGATGGCCCTGAGAAGCCTAAAAAAAAAAAAAAAAAAAAAAAAAAAAAAACAAACCTCTGCAATAATTATTTGCTGAAAATCCGCTGAGATTTCATTCCATTTCCCTGTTTATGACACTAAGTATTCTCGATGTTATCTTTTCAATTTCTTATTTTATCGTTTTGCTATGCCACAAGGAGAGAGAAAATGAAGGACTGCAAGTTTGAATACAATGTAGAATATATTCACTCTTAGTTTTTTAAACCTCAGGTTTTAGACCTAAAAAAAAAAAAAAATAACAAATAAAATGATGGTTGGGCTCCAGCAAGGTGAGACTAACCTTGAGGACCTGGAGGTGAAGGCGCTGCACGACGCGATGGAGCAACCACCGGGCTCTGTGCTACCACACATTTCCCACGTGGTGGCTGGAATCTCTCCTGCTCGCCCAGATTGCACGGTTTACATGAAAAAGAACAAACAAACAAACAAGGGAAAAAAAAAAAAAAGTTATTGGCTGGTCACTTTTTTTCTTTCTTTTTTTTTTTTTTCCCCAGAAGCTCCTCAACCAGGGCCCGAGTGGGACCGGCCGAATAGCGCGGTGAAATAAAAGCAGGGGGAGAACCTGAAGCCCCACCTTTTGCTTGGACCTTAGATCTCAGGTTTGATGGAAGGGGACAAAGTCGTTTAGGGGGTCATTTTATTTCTGTGGGGAGAAAAAAAAAGCGAGGGGGTCTCCTGTCTCTCTCCCTTGCCCCCAGCTTTTCCTTTGGGGGCCAAATCCAGGTGGGAATCGCTCAGAGAAGGGCTGGGCACCTTCCTTGGGTGCCCTTTTGGGCATCTTTCCCGTGACAGGAGGACCCTGGAGGGAAGGGCTGGAGGGACAGCCCCTAAAGAAGAGTTGGGGAGACCCCCCCAGGCACAAAGAGGGGCTGGGGACACCCCTCCCCCCCAAAGAGGGGCCGTCACTGGGAAGCAGCGGGTGGAGGGAGGGAGGTGCGGTGGGAAGCGCGGTGGAGTTTGGGGCTCCCATCCCATCCCGCACCCCCTGACACCCCCCCCCATCCTTTGCTCCGTCCGGTAGCGGTGTCCCCCCCCGCTTCTCCATCCTCCCTCCGTCCCTGTGGCCCCTCCGGGATGCGAGGAGGACGGGGCCGAGCCCGGGCGGGATGAAGGGCGGGGTGAGGATGAACGTGTGGGACTCAAAAAATGCGGCCAAACGCCGCTGCCGGGGTTTCGCCGGGGAAAAGAAGCG